AGATAAGTACAATGAGGTTAGTGTTTCAGTGTGTGTTTTTCAAATAGAGATGATAAGAAGTATTTTATGTATCCTTATCTGTGCTGTGTCTCTTAGGAGCGTACTCTGGAGGATATTTGGGAAGAAGAACGGAAGAGACAGCAAGTTCATTGGACTTTGATCTTTTCTCAGTTGATTGCACAATGGGCTCAGTGGATAGGTTTGGCTTGGTTGTTTTGTTATTTTCGCTTCTTGATTGTTTAAAAAGGGGATTATCACATTGTAACTTGTTTCTTGTTTTTGCAGCCAAAATTGTCTTTGGATCTGGTTCACTTTTTGGGAGGTTTCTTCCTCTGGCTTCATTTGGTCAAATAGGTTCTGGTGGGAGGCTTTTGCCACCGCCTCTTAGTATGTTACAGGTATATTCGAAGGATCTACCGTATCTTGTGAAACAATGTATGCCAAATGATATGTTTAAGAGGATTAGCCTATACGGAGTGTTTCTGCTGGATGCCTTGTAGACTCTTACCTTTGAAATTGGTTTATTCGGAAGCCTACTTAGTCACTGTCAATTTGATGTACTATTTCTGTATTTTCACCTCTTACTAGGAAGAAAGGCTGAGAAACATTAAGCGAAGAATAGAAATTCCATTTGATGGATCTCGAGTTGAGCATCAAGTAAGTCTTCACTTGGACTCTCTTATTGCGTAGTACTGCAACAAGATCTTTTTGTCTGATATTTATGTAATCACATGATTTATAGGATGCACTTAGACAGTTATGGAGGTTAGCTTATCCAGAGAGGGAACTACCACCTCTTAAATCCGAACTCTGGAAGGAGATGGGCTGGCAAGGAACAGACCCTTCAACAGATTTTCGGTACACACGTTATCTTTGGTTGTACGAATCTTCTTCTCCTTCATGTATAGTCACTTGTACTGATGATTGGTTTCATAAATTGATTTGTAGAGGTGGAGGATATATATCACTGGAGAATCTAATCTTCTTTGCGCAGACCTATCCGGTTTGTGATGCATCTCTAACTCACATTTATATCTTTGATTTCTTTTCAAAAAGGAATTATTTTAAAGAGAATCAATGCCAAAGTTGCTGTCTTTACACAATTCTATGTATAGAATTTATCTTTGAATCGTAACGGTTCATTATGACAGGAATCATTCCAAAGATTGTTAAATAAACAAGATGGAACAAGAGCCGAATGGGAATATCCTTTCGCGGTCGCTGGCATCAATATCTCATTCATGTTGGCACAAATGCTAGATCTTCAATCAGGTAAAAATGTTCAAGAAACCAAGTAAAACCTGATCAAGCTTCATAACTTTCCCCTTTCTTGTGAGACTCGACGATTTGAAACCATTGAAATGTGTTTGTGTTTCTCTTCAGGTAAACCGTCGACGATAGCCGGGATAAGGTTCTTGGGGTTTCTAGAAGAAGACGAAATGGCGTTTGATAATCTGTACTGTATAGCTTTCCAAATGATGGATGCACAATGGCTTGCCAAAAGAGCTTCATACATGGAATTCAATGTAAAACTCTTTGAACAAAGCTTGTTACAGTTTGGAAATCCCGGTTTGGTTATGTGTTAACCGGTTTTCAATTTGTTGCAGGAAGTTCTGAAATCAACAAGGGCACAATTGGAACGTGAACTGGCGCTTGAGGATATTTCGAGCATCAGAGACTTGCCTGCTTTCAATTTATTGTACAAATAATTTACTCCTTTTTTTATAACTTTGATTTTTTCCTCTAATTTCTATCTGTATTTATGTAATAATCTGAGAAAATTCAGTGTAATAAATAATCACTTTTTGCTGAAATTGCTCAGCGAATCAGGTTTTTCAATTATTATTTTCATCTACTGTGTGTGTGTATTCAAGATCCTAAAAACAAAAGAAAAAAATTATATAGAAGACCAAATCAAATCAAAACTGAGCGTTAATAAAATTTATACATTTTTCTTCTATTATTTTTTTTTATCATTGATTCAACATTTTTACTGTAGATATGATGATATGACAGTCGAACGTTAGGTTGAAGAAAAATAATATAACTTTGAATGTTACCAAACGGTAACTTATTTGAGCTTTATGAATTTTAAATTGAAATTTTTTTAGATAATATAATGTCTATATATATCCACTTCTTCCTCATTCTAACTTCAAAATCTTCTTACTCTGTTTTTTCTTTAAGTGCCCAAATACTCTGTTTTTTTTTTTGTTAAAGCAAATACTCTGTTTTTATTCCTATGATATATACACACACAAAATCATCTCTGCTTTTATCGTTTTCAAGGGGAAATATATAGACAGACATCACCACCTTAAAAGGTAACGTCTTTTGTCTGATTCTTTTCTTTGTTTAAGTACGGTGTGCATATAATTTTTATGGAGTTCCAAAAAGTTTTGAGATATATTTTTGGGTGCTCACAAAATATTCATAAAATGGGGTTAAAACTGTAGTCTTTTTCAATGATTTTTGTAAGTTCCGAATTAAATGAAGTTTTTGTGTCAGTTGTGAAGGTTATAATAAAATGATGTATAATATGCATGCTCTG